TACCAAAGGGGGACAAGCCGATCGATGAACTCTTGAGATATAGGCCAATCTTCCCACTGGATACGGCGGGAAAGGTTCGTTTATAACCGACTGCTAAGTGTCGTCGAGGAGAAAGAAGCTCTATCCAAATATCAATATGTAGGGAGACCCTTTATAGTCAACGAATTGTTAGATATCCTAATAAGTCGCAAAACAATTGGGTTGCTTTTAGTATCACAGCTTCAGCACCATAAGACAGCGCAATCTTTAATCATAGATGAGAATCTAGTTGAGGCTTTCATGTCATCTGCCCCTCGTGAAGTGATACCCATCGCTGCTGCTATGATAGGAATGTCGAGAAAATGTGGGTTTTTAGCGGGTGCAAGTTCCGCACTTTTCGGCATTTCATGATTTCCCTTTTCGCGGTGTGGACGCGCATTCTCTACAGATACCCGTCGCAAGATGCCGCTAGTATACAGCATACAGAAAGACTGCGGCTTTGTCAACAGGGCCAAAGGGTTCACAAGGCCGCGGATCTGTCTAATATATGCCTATCGCTCCGGCGACGTACCCAAAAACGGGGCTCTGGCGGCCGAAACGGAGCGGCATAACTCCCACCGGTAAAACGCTGCGGTAAAACTTATAACTAAAATCCTCAATGTGAAAAAAACCAATTAAAATAGTAGCACAGAAAACAAAACAATCGCAATTGCAATGCTGTTGATGAATTCGAAGCAGACGCGCATGAATGTGTGAGTGTATATGTATACAGAAATTCTTGCAATTTGCGCTTGTGCCGCAAACACGTGTTTCTTAACCGATTTTCATGAAATTTCCAACAGTATATCTTAGTGTACCATAGAATATTCGTGTATTCTCGAAAAGTCAATTGCATTAAAACTGTGGCTTAAATTGGTGGGCAATACAAGTTGATTTGTAGCTTTTCGGTGGTAGCGGGCAGGTGGTGAAAGGTATAAAATGAAAGATACATGATATATATATACTATTCTAGAGTAAACATATCACTTTTGGTGACTCTAGCTCTTATTATTTACCGAATTTGCTCAAGAAAACAAGATTTCGATATCGATTTTTATCGATTGCTTGGAAACGAGTTAAGTTATCGAATATCGGAAACAAGCTCGATCTGCGCATGGACTAGAAGGACCTACAGCTAAAATTTCAAGTCTCTAGCTCTTATAGGTTCTGATATCCTTGCGTTCATACATACGGAGTCCGTCCGACAGACAGACGGACATGGCTAGATCGACTCGGCTATTGATGCTGATCAAGAATATATATACTTTAAGTGGTCGGAGAAGCTTCCTTCTGCCTGTTACATAGATTTGTACAAATACATTATACCCTTTTAAAACATTTTTAATGGGTTCAGGGTATGACCAGTGCTCGAAAGAAGCAGTGATTATTAACTTTCTGTACCACCAATAAAATCGTTGCTTTCAGGATACCTTCGGATACCAGCTATGGGTAATAAAAAGGGACATAGCTTGCCCCTTCATTTCCCATCACAATCTCTTAATCCTGTCTAACATTCTATATATCTAGTATAAATTCTCTTACTTTATTAAAAACTTCTTTCTTTCTTCTAATAAAAATAAATTGTTTGGCCAATAGGACAATGCACAATAAATAACGAAGGTGACTTGAGAGTAATATTGGATAAGAATTTCTCAGATATTAGAGTAACCCAATTAATTAAAATTTTAGCAATTCATGACATAGTCCACATTATCATAAAATGTTTCAAATCTAAGTAATTTTGTAAGAAGATGCCAGTTTTCCCTGTCGCACAGCGTAATTTTACAAATACAGAAAAACATCGTAGCGGAAAATTGTCACGGATTCATATTGTAAGCCCATGCGCCCAATTGTCTGCCAGGCACACTGCAACTCCCAATCAAATCATCCACCCCGTGTCATACCCAGCACGCGAATTTCAGTGGTGCACCTAAACAAGTTGCGGAACAGCTGGAACGCCGTCACTCGACATCATATATCATATATATCAGACACTTTTGAGCCAGCCAAGCGCAAAAAACTGAGTCCCATCGAGAAGTGGAGGTCAAAATCGAGCAATAAACCTGTGTTGGCGTCGACTGTGTGTCTGGCAATATGGATATGGTCCTATTCCTGGTAAGTTACCAACAAGCGAGGCGAAACCAAGCAAAAGTCCGTAGGATACAGGCATGACCAAGGAAGGCGCTGTTTGGAAAGGCCAAGTGTTTAATATAAGTAAATGATAAGCAACAAAAATGGGCACTGGTCAACAATACGATGCAATAGTGCTGACCAGGCAGCCTTTGGCCACTGAATCCGGGGCCGCAACCGTCGAGGAGCCGCACGTCGTGAATGTGTGGCCAGTCGAACCGACTGTTATCAATTAACTTACATATAATAAGCAAGGGGCAAGAGTCTGGGAATAACTTAACTACATACACATGTGTTTCTGAGGCAGCTCAGCGCCAGGTTCAGGATGCCCCAAAGCTGGGCATGTCTGGCTGGAGCACTCTCACTTGTTTCTTGTTTAAACGACTTGCAACTTTTTATATTCATGCCATTTTCTTTTTTTTTTTGTCATGGGAGGAGACAAGGCTTTAACTTATTTTGCTTAATTGGATTATTAAAATATTTTCTTTAGGCAACACACTTGTGACTCCTCAATATGGTACATATATGAATAAAGACACACGTTTTATTGAACTTCATCGAGTTTATGTACTTACAAACACAAAATTATAAATGTTTGTACATGTATATAACCTTTTCACACAAATAAAATGAAATGCACTGATGTTATATACCACAAATGACATGCAAAATACCCAAGATCGGATTATCTCATTTAAGTTTGTGTGCATGTTAAAGCATTACAATTATTACATACATATACACATATAATATATATATATATACATATACATATATATGTATGTACATAGATATTGTGGTATATATATATTGCAAATTCATTTTTGCTAACAGCGTACAACTTTCTCACATTATCGTAATGTAATTCTTTATTTGTATTTACACCTTCACATATGTGTAAAACACAAAATATTATACACTTACATTACTTCCGTAAATTTAACTTTCTCCTTTAAAAAAATCAAAACAACGGTAGCTCACAATGAAAGAATATAAAACTATGATTTCACATAGAAACATATGGAATTAACACAAAAAAACGAGTCCACCTGTAGTGGTATTTTTTCGTTATCGGTAATAGTCTCTGCATACGATTTCTTACACTTTGTATTTCAATAAGTATGACATACATTTGTAAAGCCTTAACTGTGTTAAAAGAGTTCTTTATTATTTTCAGATTTAAGCACATTTATTGCTAGCTATAATTTTCTGACATTTAAATTTAAGTTTAACATATGTGGATATTTAAAAAATTACCCATCAACGCCGCGTGCACATTAACAATATAATGGATTCATTGGGATAATATACTTACTGAGACTTAAAATTATTTTTTTAACTCGCGTTAGGACGCCGAATAATGCTCAATAATAAAAAAACTTGGATATCTAGGCATCTATTTTGGAAACAGGGGATCGTAATTTCTCAGCGTTTCAAGTTAAACAGCGAAATCAATATCGCATTTGTTACAAATCAGCAACATCATACATCTGATCAAGCTGCCTATCGCAGCATACAAAAAAAATTGTTTGCAAGCGTTCGCTATTTTCTTATTAACACAACTTTATTAATATATATATCTCTATATATAAAACTGTTTGTCCTGACTGACTGAACGACTGACTGACTGATTGGCGACCAACGTACAGCCCAAACCGTAAGAGCTAGAAAGCTGATATTAGCTTATGTGATGTAGGTGCACGTTAAGACGGGGCTACGGGAAATTCGTTTGACGTTTGACATCTTAATCAATTTGGCTTTTAAATCTGGCAACATTATTCTTGGTCACAATTCATATGAAAATTTTACCGTCAAATATCCCATATAGATATAGGTCTAAATTGGATGCAATGCCACAGTCGAACCACAGTCGCTTTCGCATGTGGACATTGACAGAAGAAGAGAAGTTAAGGAATGGGGCAGAAGAACAGTTTTAAAATGGAATGTAAGCCATTCTCAATTGATAAGCTTTTTTCAAAGAAAGACAGCTTATTACCTCTTAATCCATATTATTAAATCTTAATTATATAAACAAATCAATCTTTTTGTTGACAAACTCCAGTATTGATGCAATGCCCTGCGATTGGGCGCGGGTAACGACCCAATCCGATATTTTTCTTAACATGATCGCCGTGTTACTTTTTACTTCTTCTATTTAATTTATCGTACACAAAAAATATTTTCGCACTGACGTCTCAATACGTCAGCGCGAAATGAAACCATATCTATGTTATTCGATAAGTATTGAAAGTTATCGCTTGAAGTAGAATCCTACCGGCTGTGCTTAAAATACGGATTTGTGTAGAAAAAACGTAAACAGCTATGTTTAAAATATAACATCCATTTTTTAACTTTTCCACCTTATTTAAGAGCTATACTTTAATTGTAATATAAAATGGCATATTTTAATCAAGTTAATTTTATTAACACCAAAAATTTTAAAATACATGGAGATTACCGAATAGGTACGTTTTGACGCACGGAACACGCGTTTAGGTTAAGATTGCAGATATAGACATATCTTAAGCAGCGTATTCGATGGCCAATGATGCTGCTGGCAATCGATATTTTAATGCTATCGATATTTTCAACAACTGCCATTTTTTGCATTATAAATTTAATTTCTTAATTAGTTTTAAATACATTAGGCACAATACGTACCTTTCGCTGTCGAAAATTGATTTCCTGGACCTTATTTGAGAATTTCAGATACATTACTTAATTCGAAGAAACATTACTTAATTAATTCCTTAGCGGTGGCAACTAAACCCAGCCTTAAACGATAATGTTTGAATATATCGATTTTCAATATCGACTAATATCTTAACAATGTTCTAATGTTTATTTACATCACTAACTGAATCTCTGAGTGAACAACTGTTTGTTAAGTACTTTACGATGGAAGGAGCATCAAAGTTTTTAAAAGGAATATTAGGCGACATAAGTAGCCGTTCAGCTTACTCACAGATAATAATTGGAGTATCTTCGGGATGGTATGTACAGGAATTTGCCACAATTTCTTTTTTACCTATAAATTTTGTATAGTATATAAACTTATGTCAGCATACATATATATGTGGGTGTGTATGTGTGTACAGGATATGTGTTTTGAATTGTATATTGCAAATTTACTTACAGGCTATCGTAACTGAAAACAAAATAGATTTAGCTAATTACGCGTTCAATTTGATCAATTGAGTCACACCTCAGAAATAAGAAGAAATCTTATACATACAAAACCAAGAAAAAACTACTATACTTTTAGCTGTGATGTCATTGTTTGGGAAATGAATTTCGACTAGGAAATATCCCGGACTATTTTCACAAGCATTCGCTTCCTTCCATACATGCATGCACCTAAATACGCACAGTTTTCGCTGCAGTATAAAAATGTGTATAAATGCAAAAACAAGACTCTATTTAATCTATCTCGCTTCAATCTTCAAGTAATGCCTAAATCGATGATTACGAACTGGTCCTCCAAAATCTGAAGCACATAGTTAGCCCATAAGCCAAGCTCCTCTCATGGCCAATCATCGTCAGACATCGAACTAAGCTAGTGACCGAACTAGAAGCAGCATTGCAGAGACCCAGGGACGGCCCCCAGTTAGCTGTGGGGAGACGTAGTTTCGGCTAATAGTTTGACTTGACCAACCCTGCCTCTGTAATTCTTATGTTCTGTTCCCGACGCGAGGTGTGCCGACAATCACCTTTAAGGCTGTGCTTAACAAGTCTTGGCCTATTGCCATCCTTGCGGCCAACAAGTCTTGTTCGTGTCTGCTGTCTAACAATATTCGCATGTGAGATTGTGGAAACATGCCCATTAAATTTATACTTGTACAAGCGTATAAGCGTATTCGTATCAAAAAAGAACGCAAAGCTGCGTTTATGCCGCCCAGCGCATCTTACTTCTTAGAAGTCTGCAAAGCACTTGGTGTCTTTGTTTCTCGACCGTAGCCTACTCAGGAGTAAGGACGCCAACGACGGCGAGGTCGTCACCCACTGACATCCTTAAATTGGCGTCTTCTTGCAGGCACTACCATCAAAGAAACTCCACGTTTGGCCTGCTCCAGCATGCTGTCAATTTCGACGTAGAAGCTGTCGCTGCCTTCCTGTCGCTTGTTTATCGTTGTCGTTAACGTTCATATTTCAAAAGAATACTAAATTATCTTCGGCAATGGTGAAAAACCTGACTGTTCATTTATTTTGTATGCTTATGTATTTTCATAGGGTGACCGGGTACACAACAATAAAATTTGGAAAGTTTGCTGCATTTGCTATTGGCGGAAGTATTATTTTAATGGAAATTGCACACCAAGAAGGATTTATTAAAATCGACTGGCCGAAATTATCGAGAAGTGTGGACAAAATAGCTGAAAAGGTAGAATCTTCAATATCACCCCACGATACAAATTGGTTGGATAAGGTAAACCTTACTATCTTCAAAATATTATTTCAATTATAATTTTGTCGATATAGCGTTTCCATACATGCGTGTCTGTTTCTAGTCTCTAGTCTGAAGCATGGGCCCGCCTTTCTGTTGTCCGAAAGAATTCGAAATTTTGACCTAGGATATTTCACATGAATTTTGACCAAGAATAATTTTGTCAGATTTTTATGCCAAAAACTGATCGCGATTGATTAATAGTTTTTATTTATATTCTTCTTTTCAGACGGAAAGGTATTTGGATCGCAAACTTGACAAAGCAGAAGATAAACTTAAAGGAAAAACAATAAAAGTGAGGAAGTGGTACGCAAAATATATTGGAGATGAAGAAGGACCGAAAATAAATGACCTCCATATTTTTATAACCTCATTCATTGGAGGAATCGCATTAGGTATAGCCACTGGCTAATAATATTATATAAAATGTATTAACTTAGACTAATAGAGTAAATAAAAAAATGATGTGTTTGCTCTATGCTTAGCGCGTTTTGGATTCTCTAGCAATTATTTTAGTTGAACGAATGGAGACACGAATATTTTATTGATTCAGGTAAAAATATTTTCGGTTCACTTAACTGCAAACTCGAAACCACCGACTTTTTGCGGAAATCCATGAATTACAACTTCAGCTTCTGTGAAGAGCATCACTTTAGGAAACGAAACATGCTGAACGTTCTGAAAGCTGCTGCATAGCTCCCTCCAGGTCGTATCACCTGCAATCGACAAGCTTTCATCCCACGTCAATTGGTCCTTACAAAGCTGTTGAAGAAAAATCTTTGCTTTAGTTATGACTGTTCCCAAGAGACAGGTGGAATCTACGATAGAAATTGAAAGTAGCAACTGATCAATCGCTGGATCTCTTACAATGTCAACAACCTGGTGATATCGCTTCCATCATCGAACTTTAAAAATTGTTGCCTATCTTCATACTTCATCGAGGACTTCCTGTACCCGCTCAATCTTCGGCGTGCCGGAGATATTCTTACCCCTCTCTCGTTATTTATATTATTATTTTTGATAAATTTTTATTGAAAACAAAACATTGGGAATGAAAACTATATTTTTTGTATTTTTGTTTCAAGAGCCTCCGCCAAATCGAAAATTCGATATTTATTATGACTTGTTATCGATAATTGGCAGCTCTCATTCGCTATTGTCGCGGCGTTGACAATAGCTGAAATTAACGGATATATATAATAAAATTCGCAATAAAGTTCAGTTCCGCCGCCTGATAAAAAAATTTTCTGATAATAGACTCCTAGCGCGACTATTAAGAATCTTCTTTATGTGCGGAAACAAAAACAAAGAATTAGCCATCGTTAATTCCATATATTCTTACACCACTTACACGAACCTAGCTCCATCGAAAAGTAGTAAAAAGGATAAAATGGTCTTTTTGCGAATGTATGAAACAGTCTGAAGGAGACACCTCTGAGCTCCTCTAAAGCTATGCCTTGTTGTCTGCCCATTCATCTGCGTCTGGAATATCTGCACTTCTTGGGATTCTTTACGGAAAGCACTGCAAGGGTTTCTGAGTGCATTAAGTTGAATTAGAAAGGTGTTTTGTTGCTCAGCCTAATATAATAAAATGAACTCAGTAATAAAAATTGTATTTGGCCTTAATTTGCTAACTTACGTTTCCTCAACTTCCGTGATTAAAGTGGGTAGGTAATTTGTTGAAATACGTAAGAACTTATATACTGATACTGTACGTCTATAATTGAAAGGCGCCCTATTTCCAAAACTATCTAAGCAACAAAGTGATCCAGAAGTAGCCTTTCAATATGCTGTACATAGACTCAATTATGACAAGAGTGTGTTACCTGATACCGACCTAGTACATCATATTCAATATATTGCTAAGGACTCTTTTCAGGCTGTTCAAAAAGGTATGGCACCTTTAATAGATATGAATTATCTCATATTTAACATATTTTTACCCTAAATAGTATGTAATCTTATCGAAGGCGGAGTACAGGCTATATTTAGTCCAACAGATTCTTTTTTGGCCACCCATATTAATTCCATATGCGATGATCTTGATATACCAGATATTGGAATTAGTCGATCCGCCCAAAAATTCTCCATAAATGTTCATCCCTCGCAGCAACATATTAATCGAGCTTTCATCGATGTTATACGATATCTAAATTGGACAAGGTTTGGTATTTTATATGAAAAGGACCACGGTAAGTGCAGGCCTGAGCATGCAATTGCACCCAGTCTACCCTAAAAACAACTTTCATCTGCAGGTATATTAGTATTAAATCAATTTTCGCGGTCAATTGAAGCGGAGGTGCATATAAGACAGGTATCGCCTGGTTCGTACCTGTCAGTTCTTCACGAGTTCAAAAACAATGAAATTCATAATATCTTAATTGACACTAACTCGGCTGGAATTTCAATTTTATTAAAAAATGTGAGCTCTAAATCTTATTTGGCACTTAAAAAACATTGAGTTAAGTTACGGTGAACATCGAAAAGCTGTGGCTGGCATTGGCTCATAATTATTGCTACAAGCTTAATGATATTGTCCTTTTGAGAGTATACGAATATTCTAGAGCATAATTAGATCTACTGTTGAAAATTTCATCAAGATCGGTTAAGATACACAAAAGTTATTAAAGAAAATGTGTTTTGGCAACCCACGTATTAGCGGCAGCTAGCGCAAATTCCAAGAATTTCTGTTTACATACACACCCATTGCAGCAGAAATTTGTAGGCACAATGTCGAACGACAGCTACAAAGTAAAATGTAGGCAGGTTAGATGTGATATAAACCTCTAGACTTACCATATTTTTAAGCCATGAATTCCTGTTGCTTTAGCTGATATAACTGAAATTAAATATTTTTTAACTAATTTTTTTTTAATATAGATTCTTCAGCAACAAATGAATGAGTACAAATTCCACTACTTTTTTACAAGTTTCGACTTGGAAAATTTTGATTTGGAGGATTTTAAATACAACTTTGTGAATATAACATCATTTCGACTGGTTGATATGGGCGATGTAGCGGTAAAAGAAATTCTTAAGGGGATGGAATTATTCGATATTGGTAATTTAAACCGAAACGAATCAACTTATAAATACAAGAAAACCGTTAGTATTCAGGTAAGATTCAATCTTGTAAATAGGTTTTAAGCATAATGATCATTAAATATATTTCAGACAGAGGCAGCTCTGATGTTTGACTCAGTTTATGTATTTGCCATCGGGTTGCAGTCTATGCACCCATTAATTCACCTATCAAATTTGACTTGTGACGATGAAATCCCGTGGAACGAAGGCCTGAGCCTGATCAATTATATTAATGCGGTATAACTTTGTGCTCCAGTTGCACTTGCAATATAGCTTTGTATAGGCATTATTAGAGTTACAAATTTTATTTTACCAAGTGCTAAAACTATAAAATTATTTGTAGAAGAAAGCTAGTAGGACGCTTTACATGGCGTTCAGGTTGTATCCTAGTCGGGCACTCCCAACTAGAGCTTTTATACTTTAATTTTTAAGGCTATCCTCTTTATTTTTAAGCGGAAAAATTGCTAATGTTTATTAATTTTTTAACCAGGTTGAATGGAAAGGTCTAACGGGACCTATACAATTTAAAGATGGTCAACGGATTCAATTTAAGCTCGATTTAATCAAATTAAAGCAGCACTCCATCGTAAAAGTCGGCGAATGGACGCCTCAAGATCATCTAAATATAACGGAGCCCTCATTATTTTTTGATGCTGGTTCTATGAATGTGACTTTAGTTGTTATAACAATATTGGTCTGTCGATAACTTTTATTATTTTTTTATTGTATTATTACTTATTAGTTTATTACATTTTAGGAAACGCCCTACGTAATGATGCGTTACGGTAAAAACTACACCGGCAATGAACGCTTTTATGGCTTTTGTGTCGATATATTGGAAACAATATCGCACGAGGTCGGGTTTGACTATATACTAGATTTAGTTCCTGATAGAAAGTATGGAGCCAAAGATCCCGAAACAGGCCAATGGAATGGAATGGTCGCTCAGCTAATGAAATATGTAAGTATAAAAGGAGTGGGCACTTTTGACCTATGTCTATATAGGATATTCACACATATAACATTTTAATTAAAATTAATTTTAACTGTTTTGTGTTAGTCGATAAATTATAAACAATTGTTTTATTCTCAGAAGGCGGACTTGGCTGTTGGGTCTATGACAATCACATATGCAAGGGAAAGTGTTATAGATTTCACAAAACCATTTATGAATCTAGGCATCAGTATTTTATTAAAGGTATGTATTAAATAATTTAATGAGTTTTTATTTTTTTTATTTAAAAATCTGAATTAAACGCATATCCTGTCAGATTTGTACACCATTTCTCCTAGAAATTATTCAACTCAAGCGACCTACAAAAAATGAACCCAGAATGGTGCACGAAAAGCAAGGTTATCCTTGGATCCATTGCAATTTGGTAAAAAAGGCATAATGTACATGTACAAATTTATGTAGAAGGCAGAAGAAAGCATCTCCAACCGCATAAAGAATATGTATTCTTGATCAATAGCCAAGTCCGTCTGCCTATCTATTCATCAGTCCGTATGCAAGGATCTTAGGTCTTCCTAGAGGACGCGCAGTTGGTTTCCGATAATTGATAACTCTTCCCATTTCTAAGCAGTCGATACAAATCGATATCAAGATCCCGGAAAGCCCTGCCGAAGTCCGTGTAAAATCATCAAAGAGATGAGAATACAGGCTTGTTTAGTTCCGACAAAAGAGAAGATCCAACAGCGACAGGTACCCCATGTCCGTTAGCTCGGACCGCGACGGCGGACTCGGATAAAACGTCGTATTGTACACATTGAGCTCAATCTGATTGTAGAGATATGACTATTCTTCCGGTTCATTTATCTTCCTTATGGACTTATTCATTTATATTATTATATATAATAAATAACAAATTATTTATTTTCAGGTGCCCACAACAGAACCAACTCGACTGTTTTCTTTCATGAATCCATTAGCTATTGAAATATGGATTTACGTTTTAGCGGCATATTTACTTGTCTCGTTGACCATATATTTATTGGCAAAACTGTCGCCGATCGAATGGCGTAGTGTACACCCGTGTGATGTGGATCACATAACAATAATCAACCAATTTTCGATATCTGATAGCTTTTGGTTCACTATTGGAACGCTTATGCAGCAGGGTTCCGATATATATCCAAGAGCCGCATCTACCCGAATTATTAGCAGTGTTTGGGGATTTTTTTCCCTTATTATAGTTGCCTCATATACCGCCAACTTGGCGGCATTTTTAACTGTGGAGCGTATGATTAACCCGATTGAAAATGCTGAAGATTTGGCTAGCCAGACGGAAATCTCATACGGGACCTTGGAAAGTGGATCAACAATGACATTTTTTCGGGTAAGTGTATGGTTCGATTGGTGTATATACTAGGGTAAACCCGCGTTCGCTAAAGTAAATTTTGGTTTATGAGAATGGTAAACGAAAATTTATAATTTATGTCCCAGTTGTACAAGTATAGACGTATATATTATATATGTGAGGAAGCGTTTTGGCGATTTTGGCAATGGTTGCTTGCGAGCTAGTTAACAATATTAGTAAGGGAACATAAGAAAACAAGGGTGCGTAATATACCGCAATCCGTTTTTTAATGAGATCTGGAGGTAAATTTACCCTGTCACGCTAAACGGACAGCTTCGGTGGCGACACAGCGACATTCACGAGAGAATGGATAAGGCGAAACCGGGCTGGTTACGGACATAGTAGCACGGATTCGATTAGGATTTTCTCGATTTTGCCGCTTCCACACTACTGCAACTGGAGGATACAACTCGCATAAGGAAAGACTTCGGAGCGTGACTTAGGTTGTTATTTCGAGAATCTTTTGTGCAAATATCAAATGGCATAAATTTGACACACTGACTTCGCAAACCTAGTCGATTATACCGCCCGACATGTGTCCATTTCGCTCCTACCATAGCATACTCGCAACTTAAAGACACTACGGAATTTTGGAACTACCACAGGATACGGTTTTGGCACCTAGGATCTCAAAGGTCGTCAACGGGATTGTTAACCAGGATACGGAGGGAGAGACTGCATGTTGAAACTGTGGAGGAAAAGGACATTTCTCGACGGAATGTCGCAGCGCTCAAAGGTTGTTCGGCTGGGAACCGGTGACCGGTCGTAGAGTAATACCAAGATTCTAGTAACTATTGAACATACACGGAGTGACGCTAGGGCTAAGTGGTCGATCATTAGCGAGCAAATGGCGCGTATATTTGGGACGGAAGGAAGTCGCCGCAATGACCGAACATGGCTCACCCTGACGGATGGACCGTATATGCAGCTGAACTGCCGATTGATTTTGCGTTACGCCATACTCAAAATAGCCTCGTTAACCCCGACAATAGTATTCCCGATGAAACAGTGGTCAGGTCAGGTCAGTAAAAACTTAACAACAAGGATACCGCTAAACATAGAAGAGCCCGCCAACCTCGTATAACGAGTGCAGGCCAGTAACAATTGAACGAAATGGACACCACTGGAAAATTACCCGATTAAGCCTACCGAGTTTGTTAAAGCCGCCAGAAACCGCCAACGGATAGGATAGGGACGAATTACTCAGGCAATACCTTGGGGCTACCCGCTGAAGCAGCCGATTCCTTTCGGAAACCAAGTCGAATAACCCAGCCAGGGGTGACCTGCTTGCAAGCTGCAAGCTCAAGTGGCCGCCACTTTTGGAGTAAGAAATGGCCCAGTTCGCAGGGCTATTAGGAGCATCGCATATCGCACCTCCTAAAGTAATAATGAAGGACGATAAACCAGCGACCAGGTTGTTATTGCCTTAACCAATCGATTATAATAATAGAATAATAGAATAGGATACCTTGCGGTATCCTCAGCAGTAAAGCATATAGTCTCTCTCTTAAAAATTTTCCGGTCAGCGAAAGATTTAGCATAGTCAGTTTTTGGACGCAGAGGAAGAAGCTCTTCGCGCAGTCTAGCCCAAATTTGTTTATTTAATTTGATTGTAATTCACCATAAATTATTTATGGACTTAAACTTAATAATTATAGATAAATTCATTTAGGATTCTATGATTGAAACTTATAAAAAGATGTGGAGAATTATGGACAATAAGAAGCCCATGGCATTCACATCAACTTATGAGGACGGCATAAGGCGTGTCAACCAGGGTAACTACGCATTCTTGATGGAATCCACAATGCTTGACTATATTGTTCAGCGAGACTGCAACTTAACTCAAATAGGCGGCTTATTGGACACTAAAGGTATAATTGTTTTAAATTATTAACAAATAAAATAAGTCATAGTAACTCTCATTTGGTTAAGGTGAAGACCTTACTAAGAAGCAAGAAAATAAGTGTAGAAGAGGAAATCTTTTTAATATTAACTATTCCCAACAAGGATCTAATGAAAGATACAGTGTCAATAATGCTGCAATTGATAGTAATTTTTTTAGATTTGTCAAATTTTTTCATTATACCATAATAACTTGACATGCTTCGGAGGTTTACCAGACAGACAGAAATAACAAATTTGTATTAAAGCACTTTTAAGCTGTAAGCTTACACTCAAATCTTAGGCGTGCTAAAGATAACCATTCTTTTCCATTTTAAACCTTTGATTTTTCGCAATGTACTAGGATATGGTATTGCCACACCTAAGGGATCTCCATGGCGGGACAAGATATCATTGGCTATTTTGGAGCTTCAAGAAAAGGGCGATATTCAAATGCTTTATGACAAGTGGTGGAAGAACACGGACGAGACCTGTAAGCGGATAAGCAACAATAAGCAGTCCAAGGCAAATGCTTTGGGACTCGAAAGTATAGGTAAACCTTGGTAAATAGACATTATTGAAATATTTAAAGTTATGCCGTAATTCATCAGGTGGCGTATTCGTGGTGCTGCTTACTGGAACATTGGTTGGATTTATTGTTTCATTCCTTGAATTTATGATTCATTTTCGACAAAAGGCAAAATCATTACGGATGAGTCACAGCAGCTGTAAGAATCACGGCCACTTAAATTCATCCACTGCTAAAGATTCATCGACAAGGCAAGATTGGACTTATTTATCTACGTCACGTTCTCCGTGGGTTGAAATGTTTGAAGAGCTACGATTTGCGTTATGGTGTACCAATAAACGTCAACGCCCAGAATTTAAAAGATGCTGCGCCGAATGTCAAATTAATTAAAATATTTTCCCTTGAGCTGGGGGCGGAACTCGCACGGAATAAGTCATTGATTCATTCATTAATTTCCAAATTTTCATAAATACAACTTGAGACATGGCGTGCAAAATAGTACGGATAGATTTACATTTTGCACGGGCGAAAAATTGGTGTATTTATGTCTAAAATTTAAAAAAAAAACTGCGACCTGGCGATGACCGGGAATCGCTAGCTTTTACTATATAAAGCTTATGCAATATAGTTATTTATATGAAGGTGGCAGATTGTACTATATAAAACTTATGACTCTTCTGTGTTGCAGCTGGCGAAGGATAGTCGATCATAGCTACAAATTATGCTCGCAGATATATTGCCTTTTATGCTTTGCAAATTTCGTTCAAGGGTTTTGAAAAATTTTTCGATCAAATTTTAAATATATTACTTTAAGGTTTGGAACTATTTCGTTTAAATGTATTAAATTTTAATTAAGTGCCTATTCGCGTTTGTCTTACAAAAAAACAAAGATTTTATAAATATTTTAGGTATTCATATAGTATTTTGATAATTAATTAAGACTCTCTCTCTGCCCGACATGGTGTTTTGTTGAGTATCTTAGAATAGCATTCTTTTATGCTCGTTCTTAAAAGGTGAAAGATGAAATTTCGTTGCTTGCTATACAAATAACAAGAATGCAAACATTTTTCGAAAATCTCTTTACAATAGGTTATGCGTGCACTAAAAATATATTTTTTCCTACATATATATATTTATTCTAATATATATATATATATATATATACGAAATTTATATACATATATATATATATATAAACGATTTATATATATAAATATATATATATATATATATATAAAAACGAAATTTATTTTTAGATAATGTTTAGATGCACTTATAAAATAAATCGAATGTTGCAAAGGAAATGCTCCCGTCAATAACAACTTTAGTTAGTTTGAATTAAGCGAATCTTAAGGTAGTAATTAAATAAATTGCCACAAAGAGCTGAACTGAAAACAATATTGTTGTTAATAAAGGACAAATCTGTTATTACTATTTCGCTTAGGGCATTTTATGAATAATAAAGGAACTGTGTTATAATGGCTTATTCTTGGGATAGTCGAGTTGACTTTGTTGTGCGATACATGTATGGTAAGTATTAAAAAAGCATTGGTTAAACATATGTTAAATAATTTTTAAACAAAATACTGTTTACAATTCTTACGATATGCACGCAATATAAGGAGAGTACAGAAAAGATTTAGTGGTGCACAAAAGACTATAAAAATAATTAACCAAAATTAATTGGCTGCAAAAGTTTTGTGTTTGAGGGTCACAAATTTCTTCTTTTTTTTATAATTGGCTACGGTTTGGATACTAAGCTTTTTGTGAAATTTGTTATGAATTTGGGCAGAATGGACAGGCTCCTTAGTCCTGGGAGACCTGTGCTTTCCCCTAGAGCCAAGGTCAGGCCTTTCAAGGCCATAGATCTTCCAACCCTCAGTCGGTGTATTTCATGTAGGACACCAGTCATGACAAACGTGCGTTGGTTCCTCTATATGAGGAAGCAGACATTGTTCGATGACCTGAATATCCCAAGGGTATGTGAAAAAATGTCTACCACCTTCGACCGGAACAATTTCCGCACAATTGCGCATCCTTACTCGGGCTAGACTCTCTCTCGATCGCGAAATAGGCCACTTTTATAATCCTACCTTGACTCTACGGAGCATAATGTGCTTTGGTACCAATGCTCATAGGTCATGCTTGGACTTGATAGACTGTAGAGTCAAGCGCGGTGAGGTGCCGCGAGAAGAAGGAATCGCTACCTGGTCTGTTTGTTTCTGACTGTCTGTCCGTATATATGAACGCAAGGATCTCAGAACATGTTAGAGCTACACGCACAGTTTCAAAGCAATCGATAAATATCGATATCGAAATCCTATTGTTTAAGCAAATCTTTCAGGTTTTACCCAAATCTTTTTATAGCTATAGCCAAGTGCCGCCCCTAGCCCGTAGCTATATAAATAACGTTGCGCCAGCTAGCGCGAATTTGAAGAATTTCTGTATACATGCGCGCGCACACACACGCTCATGATCGTCTTTATTAAATTCTATCAACTGCATTGTAATTGCGATTGTACTGTGTGTATGTGCAGCTATTTTAATACTTTTTTCGTCGAACATGCATTTTTGGCATGGCTGTCGAGTTGAGTCGGTAACAATTTGTGCGGTCTGTTTCGGATTGGATTCCTATTGTGGAATATATATTTTTTTAAACTTTGTTTACTACTCCCAAAGCAAACAGGCACTTAGCGCGAATTGCAGTTGCTATGAGAGAAATGGGTTTAGGGTAAAGAGGAGCAGGAGAGGTTAGAAGGGTGTATAGAGAGAATGGGTAAAATAAATACCCTACAGGTGCAAAAATAGGAAACGAAACCAATGCTGCTGTCGATACCGGGTTAACGTATACAGATAAGATTTTAAAGACAACCATAAGATACTGAGTACCTAGTCTACCGGAGACCAGTTTTATTCGCGGGAATCCTAGGTCACGGCAAGATATGCCACGCCTTAAAGGCTCTGCCGAAGCGAGCGATCTTTCTATAGTATAGATCCATATATGCAAAGGATCGAGTAAGTTGGCAGCTGGCGAGGATTCTGATAATCCATATTGACCAATCAGACTTCTCCATTCGCTTTGGATGGTTTTTGAGAGCCTAGCTTCTAACCCCTTTTACCTCCTGTTTCGCTTATACCGAAATACGACAGTTCCAGGTGAAGGTAAGGAGACTTCAAAAAAAATTTTGTTCCCGATCATAAAGAACTGGACTGTTCTTCCGTGTGGCAGGTTGTACTAAATTGTATACATTTTATTTAATTGATTGCTTTGCTAAAATTGCTCAGCTTTTATGATTTTCCAATTTGATCGATTTTATTATTTTCATTTTTAGATATCGACAACAACGGATTTTTGGATCAAAATGACTTCTTATGCATGGCAGTTCGAGCATGTGTCGTGGAAGGAAAGGGAGACTGCAGTACCGCTCGGTTGGATGAGTATAAGAAATTAATGAAGAATTTGTGGGAAGAGATTTCTGCAATTGCAGATGATGACAAGGTAAAGTAATTTAAAATATACGAAAACATTAAAAATCGAGTATTTCATAATCCAAATTTTGGAGAGACTAAGCCAGAATGACTGTATGTACATTCATATATATGTACATGCATATAAATGTACTTGTACAAAAAAAACAAAAAAAAAAACAACTACAAAAAACACTACACTACTAGCTAAGCATGAAAAACTGCAGAGCTTACTTGAATTGTTGAGAATCGAGGAGAAGAGCACAGTAGAAGTTCGTTTCATTTAAATTTGTTGCAGAGTGACTAAAATTCTTGGTTCACATATGCATAAATGAATACATTCATAAATAAATACATTCATCTATGCATAAGCTTACACCCACATACATACACACACATATATGTATGGATGTATATGTTGGATGTATATGTTTTGTCTTCCAGACGTTTCCTATCATTGATATATATACTTTTATACATTTTAGGACGGAAAAATTTCAAACCAGGAATTCAAGGATGCTGTCAAAAAGACCTGTGTAGGAAAAAAATATGAAGAATTTCCGCAGGTAAAATATAGTCGTAATTTCTTTCTTTCACAAAGTATAGTTTATGGAGCTCTCAGAAGCCATCGTGGTCTGGCGCAATTAAGTGCCGACCTAAATATTTCTTGAAATGTTTAGCGATCTTTCTGATCCCTATTTGATAGTTTAGCCGGCCCAACCTCTTCGGTAGAATATATTTCATTCTCTATAATAGTCGAAAATCATGAAAAATGTTTCATTATTAATCACTTATGGGTTTGTTATTTTCAGGCAATGCGAGCATTCATTGAGTCTAACTTCAAACTGCTTGATATTGATAATGACGGAATAGTTGGAGTAAACGAATATCGATACAACTGTATTACAAGGGTAGCTGTTGATGATATTGCACCCATTGACAAGGCGTTTGATACTTTATTGAGTGTAAATGATTTTTCACTATTAGCTGTGCTGGTGCTATTTTTATAATGTTTACTTTTATTTATTAGGATGATGATAAGAAACGTGGTGGACTGACACTTGATCGGTACAAAGAGCTTTACGGCCAGTTTCTGGGAAATACAGCTGATAACCATCCAGCGGTGAATCTTTTTGGACCTTTATAACTATTTTTTTTAATTATTGTCTTCGCTGTTGTTCAACTACTATTTTTTTAAGTTTAATTTGTAATTACTATGACTATACTTAACTAGGTTAAATGCATTCATATCATTTGTGTAGAATCGTCAGATGATCAATTCGTTATCTTTAAATGTTTTTATAGTTAGAATAGATATTTGCTCTCCGAAGTTAACCTCACTATAAAATGTTGATTTTCTCTCAGATGAAAGCTCCTCAAAAATGTTTCTCTCTCATAATCTTGTAACATTTAATCAAATTGTTCTTATGTTTGTTTATTTAAAGAAAGTTTTCATGTAAAAACGAATAAACTAAGCGAAATGCGTAAATACGCCTTCAGTCTGAAAATACCAACAATCTATTGGCAACGAGCAGGAGAGTCTGCAATTGTACATTTATTTTTGTCGCGTGAAACGCTTTCAAAAATAGCCCAGTTAAAGGTAAGCATCAGAGTAAGCGTACCTGCAAGAAGGAGGCGCCTCCTTTTAGGTATGTATCCGGTTCTTGGGTAAAGAGGTGAGCCAATATAGCAACATCCGTATCTTAAGTTGACCATCAAGTCGACTGTTAGTCCGTTTGCAAGTTACGATCTTAGACACTACAAAATCTAAAGAAAATAAAATAAAACAAAAATTATTAATTTCTCTAGTTCTTTGACAAATGATCAAAGCTTGAGATCAGGGCTCAGTGCGAAGTTACAGCGTTCGACGATCACTTGTCCGATGTAGACTCATGCGAACTTTTTAAGGGGAGAGTCCCCACCCCTTTATTAGGAAAAAACAGTTATCATCCATCTTCTTAACACCAAATCCTATTATGATCTCGGTCGCCGACAGACCCAAACTAGTCCTTGCGGTTCCAAACTAGTCCCAACTCTTATAATATTAACACTGTCGGATGGAAAACCAGTTTATTCCTTATTGTATCCTTATCCAATGAGCGTCGCAGAATTTGGCAATGCAATACAACGTGCTCAAAAATACACTTTAACTGAGCTTGAAGATGATTTTTTCAATCGTGTTTTTCTTGCGTTTGAAAGAGCAAAACTATTTGAAGTCGGACCTAACATCTGTTTCGAAGATATCGAAGATATATATATATTCCGGGTCGCCATCTTACATACTCAAAGTCCTTGCTGTTGGTTAACATATTTTAAAATTGTAGAATTGTGTTATATGTGTATGTTAAAACAACAATTCGTACATAAGTACATTAAACATTATGATT